GGACCTCTAACACTAGTCTAATTTATAAGATACATATGTTAACTTGCAAGGCTAGTTTTCTATACATATGCCACATGGTTAACTTATACCATAAGCTACCAATACGTATGACACATGACTAACTTGTTGGCTAGGTATTAAACCTATCAATCACCTTTAGACATGTATAAATATGAAACTAAGTCTATAAAACTTCCTGCAAGATATTATCAAATCAATCTACTTTTATCTATTTCTATCTATATATATTATCGAAATAATTACTAGAATAAATATATATGTCCATGACATAGGTTTAAGCAATTACTTCATGATAACAATTATCAATTTTTTTGCTAAAAGAATAGATAAAGATAAAGAAGAGAAAGTATAAGCTAGCTATTGTAGCTATAAACTTTTGCTACAATAGAAGACTATTGAGCCTCCAACATATTGATGATGTTTGGACTTTCTCACCTTTTGTTGAAGAGATAGTGTCAATGCTTTAAAATGGATTTGTTTGTATGTGCCTAACTTCTTGTTTATAGAAAAAATTTAAATAGGTCTAATGGATTTAGAAAGATAATATCCAAAAATATTTTGAATAATTATAAAGGTATATATGTATGAGTTTTTTTTTTTTTTTTTTTTTTTTTTTAAGACATCAAAAGATCATTTATTTGAGTTGTATCTTATTTATGTCTAATTAAGGATTTTTTTGTTTTGATAATAATAATTTATTTTTATTAAAAGATCTATTATATATATATATATTTAAAAAATATAATTTTTTAAAGAAAATTTAGAAAATTTTTAGGAAGATATATTACTAGGACTATATATCAATTTTTTTAAGTTCCTCCATTTTATGAAACTATATAAAATAAAAAGAAGTAATCAATGCTTATTGAAATAATTTAAAAGAGATAATACAACAAATATATTTAAAGAGAAAAATAATTCTTTCTATAAATATGCTATTATATTTATTTTTATTTTTTCCTATAATGCTATTAGAAAATGGATATATGGCTTAATTTTTTATTTTATTTATAAAATATATAAAAATTTATTTATTAATATATTTTCTTTGTTATATTTTCTTTTAAAATATTATTATATTTATATGATTTTTAAATGTCATAAAATATATCTCTCTTAATACTTATCAATCTATTTCAAATATATGTATATACATTTATTTTGTAACTATATTTGTTTCTATATAGTATTTATGTGACACTATTATTTTTGTATTTTTAATATCTATTTTTTATATTATTATTATTATTATTATTATTATTATTTATATTTGATAATGTATGCATATTAAATTTTGAGTCTACAATTCTATTGATGTAAAAAATTATATAAAAAATCACAAAAAACATATATGACATTTTAATCTAATACAAATGGTATGTCTTGATAATATATCTAAAGCAAGTTTTAGAATGTAAGTTGTTGCAAAGAAATTTCACAATGCAAAAAATAATTTTTATTTTTATTAAATTTGTTTCACACTTATCTTATAGTTTTTTTTCCAAAGACATAAAATAAAAAAAATTTAACTTGAGTTTTAAAAATTATAAAGATTAAACATGAATATATTTATTAAACTATCATTTTTTTTTAATACTTTTGGTCTTTTAAAAAAAAATTCAAAACAAAGTATATAATTTTCAAAATTTATTTCAGAATTTTATATAATTTTAGTGTTGATAGAGAAAAATAAATAAGAAACCAAATTTATAAAGAGATGCTACACATATTTTTAACATATTTTTTAAATTAGAAAAAAATTAGAAAAAATAAAAATAACGTATATATATATATATATATATATATATATATATATATATAAATATATAGTATAATTTTTATTTCAATAAAAAAATGAAGAGTGATATAAAATATAAATTTACAATTTTTTCTTAAATTTTTAAATTTATTTGCAATGAATCAATAATTTTTTTTTTAAATAGTTTTAAAAATATTTTTGTGAATTTTAAAAATATATATATATATATATATATATATATATATAATCATAAAAAATTTATTGCTAATAACATCAATCAAACATATAAAATGATGCCTACTTTATACTTTTAAAACATACTTCTCTAAGCTTATAATTTAAAATTATAGTGCAAAAAAAAAAATGACTAAAGAATTAAAATTTTACCTAAAATCCACATACCAATCTGTACTTATTTATATATTCAAAGGATATCAATAAACATGTCAAGATTTACTGTAAAAACTTAAGCAATACAAACAAGAACACTATTACCTATTAGTTTGTAGAAAGTGTCATTTTCACAAAATAAGAAATGCAAAAATTACTCACTCTATTAGAACAAAATACAACTTGAATGTCATTTATTGCCACATAGTTAAGTCAACCTATAACTTACAAAATGAATGAGATTTATTATCTTTATTCCACCTTTCTTATTTACATCATTCATTTGAAGTATTCTCAATCATTCTAACAATCTAAGTCATCTTCAAGTTAAAAACATGCCAAAGAACTTAATTCTTCTTTCAACACCTTTTTAACAACTTGTTACCAAATGCCAACTACTCGTCCTAAATCAAAATCAAACTCTAAATTGCACAATGCATCTACATCTTCTAACTAGACTTCATGAGAATGCTTCACATTGCTCCATAACACTTTTTACTCTTCTCCCAATTCCTACTTCACAACTACACGTCTTTTCCTATTGATTGCCATACAGAACCCTAATATTGGACATCACTTAATAATGTAAAAAAGCCATGAAAGTTGAGAGAGGAAAAGACCAAAGGATTTAAAAGATATAGAACCGGGGTAGTGAAAAAAGGTGAAAAAAAAGAGGACACAAAAAAAGTCATAAATAAATAATTCGGAAATGAAAGCCAAGGAAGGAGGTCTGAGCTCTGCGTTTTGCTGGTTATGTTCTTCATTGATTGGTATTCGTATGGTTATGTTTGTGTCCTTTCTCTTGCTCTCCATATTGAACAACTTTTTAGATTTTGGGTTAATGAATCCTCCCCAACACAACCCCCAATCTTGAGGATTTAGGTTATGTTCCAGCATTTTCAACCTGAAGTTTATGGTTGATTACATGTTTTGGAGCCAGATCGGTTCCACGTAACAGCTCAACACCTGCACCTAAAATTTCTTATATTTTGGCTCTGTAATAGTCGTTGATGGGTTTTCAGGCGTGGATATTTCAGGTTTGTAGAGCAAAGAGTTTGGAACTAAGCAACATTTTGCAAGTCTTCTTGTTTTTGTAGCAAGCTGGTTCAATTCTCCATCTTCTGAAATAGTGACTCACGTGCTTGGTGTCCGTATTCCCAGAGGGCGACTGGTTCAAACAAATGCGCTGTGTATCATGTACCTAGCTGTGGTGTGACTGGTTGTGACAATGTATCTCGACAGTATGCCCCACCCAGCTTTGTGTTTGAATCAAATAGTAATAGCTCCAGGAGTGTGCAAAGTGGAGACTAAAAGCTTGGTATCCAGTCAATTATCTCTGCCCACTGCACTATCGTCCAAAAAACGACTGCATGTTGGAAAGATCTGTGGTGGCACCAGCAAAGTAAGTATACGAATAAGCTGCAATCTTCGAGGTTCTAGTGTTATTGATGCTGAGCTCGTGGTTGACACTTCGAGCTGGCAATTGGAGGAACCAAAATGGCAGTGAACGGACCTACAGCAGAATGTGGTTCCCCAGCGCCAGTTGTATCTTCGAAAGAGGTCCTTGTTAGAGAATTCGATGACAATGCCCAATACACCGGGACAGTAGAAAGATGTTCCGGGGCTGGTTCTCCTGAGCCTTCAACGTCATGTAGCGATGAGGGCACTCCAACTTTGACATCTTTAAGGCACACCCATGAAAGGCGGAAACAGCTTAGCACCTACTCCAGGTTTGATATGATTAGATGCCGGTTTTACGTGGAAAGTCTGCGGACTCCCATGAAGGAGGGGTCTGGGTTGATCACATCCCGGCAAGATTCGCAGCAGCTTCAGGATGTGATTATTTTTTGAAAGCTTAGGTTTAGACTCCTGTAAATTACTGGCAGAGTACCCCCTCGCTCTGGACCTGCTCCATTGAGAATAGTCGAGCAGTGGTGCGGTTTTTGGAAACTTGTAGTCTATGCAGGCAGGACATAGTGATATTGCTGACCAAAAATCCTAGGCTTTTGGGGCACAGTGTGGAAAAAACTTTTGCGGCTGTGATGAATTTTATTCTAAAAGAAGTGGGATTATGAGAGGAAGATCTGGGAAAAAATGTTACCAAACGTGGATGGGCGTCTGTTCCCTACGCTGCAATTTCTGCATTCCCTAGGGTTCACCCACCTATCCACCGTAGTGACGAACAACCCAACTTTGCTTGCCTCCAGTGTTGAAAATAGGTTAATTCCGAAGATGGAGTATCTGGAGATCGGTTTATCGAAAGAAGCTCTGGAAGCTCTTATCAGATTCCCAACTCTATTCAACTACAGTATTGACATGAAGCAAAAGCCATTTCAGAATTCATTACTGTAGTTGAATAGAGTTGGAACCATCTGGTCGAGGACATGGGCGACCTCAAAAGATTTCCTCAGTACTTTGGATACAGCCTCGACTATAGAATTAGACCTAGGTATGAGTTTCTCAAGCAATGTGGTATTTCCTTGTCTTTAGCAGATTTGTTGAAACCGACCAATGAAGTATTCTATGCAAAGTTCCAGCATGAAATTATGCAGTAATTGGGACCTAAATTTAGTTACTGACGGTTTTTTTCTACATTGTGTATGGATGTACATGTAATTCAGACTAAACCACACATGAAGCAAAAGCCATTTCAGAATTCATTTTATTTTATCCCGTACTTTTTGCTCGACTTCAGTATCGGGTTTCGCCTGGGAATGTTGCTATCTTCATAATGGAATACTGCTAGAGCATGAATGCAGACTGTAATAGACCATGAGGGTAGACGAATTTGTTGGCATCACTTTTGGCGAGTCCTTCGTAGTTGCATCCGTAACAAAAATGTAAATACCAGTCAAACTCAACTGAAATCTACTTGGGAATTTTACTCAACATATCACAAACATGCCACAGCTCACATATTCCACCGATGTGATTGTGATTCCGGCCACTCGTTTTGCGAATAAATACAAAAATTCTACAATAATAAATAAATAAAAACTCCTGTACTCGGTCACCACTCCAAAAGTCATTGGCGGTCTCCAGCATGCCGTGATATTCAATTGCACGTACGACAAGAGTTTCTCCTCCCATAGCGCTGCTAAGGTACTAAATGTGGCATATCTGGTTCATTCCTCAAACAAGCTAATTGCGGACGCAATTTTCCGAAATAGCTTGCAAGAATCAACTTCGGCAGAAAGATTACCCAGGCAACTCTAGTTTCGCGGTCTCCATATCTTGCTTCGGCACTGGTGCCATGTCAAACGAGCGTGACAGTTGCGTCAAATTTTCCCAGCTTGGCGACGCCGAGTTCATGTCAACATACTGGCCATGGTCTGCCGCAGCCAGAGGACCATCTGGGAGACAACCCTCGACGAACTCAGATACCTCTCTGTCGTAAGAATCCCCAACTGCTTGCCCCGACAATGCTGCCAAGTTTGTCATAATTGGGAAATCCTGCGTGTCTATCGGCGTCTCGTGCTCCTGCTCCGGCGCGTGCATTTCAGCCATGTTCGGCGTTGCACATGCCTCCATGATTGCCGACGAGTCCCCTGACTCCGTGTTGGTTCGTCTATTCTGTGTAGAATGGACGGGCGTGCCGACCGTCATGTCTTGCTGCAAAGCCGCGGCGCGGTTCATGAGCATCTCGTAAATCCCATCCAGACGCTGCCCCTGGTGCTGAAGCTCTTGTGGACTGTAATTCGTCAGTGGCTTCTGCCACCAAAATGGGTAGGATAGCAGCCGATGCTGCAGCTCCCGTTCTGAGGCCAGGAGCTTCGTGAGCAGCTTCTGTTGATGCTGGAGCGCTTGGACTTGCTGCACCTTCTGGCTCGCAACATCAGTGACTGCTGTCCCGCTGTCGGAGTCAGAAAGCTCCCCGGACAAGGTCTTGTCAATAACGTAGTCTATCGAGGGGTGGCCGAATGAGAAGGCTTTCCCCGCCTGCGAGAAGACAATCACGCCTACCTCAGAGCCGCAAAGAATTGAGAGCTCGCTAGCTTTCTTGATGAGTCCGCCTCTTCGCTTAGAGAAACAAACCTGACGGGCGCTGGAATTTTCTATTTTTTTTATCTCAATCTTGGCACGACCCATGTTCACGAATCTCACTCTCTGATCTCCTCAAGATAGTCTAGTCAACTCAAATTCACCGAACGTCACAGGGTTGTGGAAAAATGGAGTACGAACCGAGCAGAGTTTCCTGTTCGTACGGATTATCTCTTTCGATGGTCTCGCATTCATGTGCAATTTTGCCAACTGCAGCGATGTTTGCAGAGACGGAGAGTCTCGGGTCTAGACTTCTCGTTCTTAGTGCTACAGAACCTAAAATGTACAAGACTTGACGGAAAGCAACAAAGAATAGTCGGAGCGCAAATGAAGCGAACAAGACAAACTCAACAACTGTGTGCTTACTGACTTTCTCTGCGACGACTTGATTGACCACGCAAACTGCGCCTCAGACAGCAAGCATGTGATCATTCAAGTTAAGAGCCAGTCCGAACAACAGAAATATTAACCACGGCGATGGGCTCGCATGTCCTAATAAACCAACACCAGGGGGAGCAGACACCGCCTCAATAAGCGGTCTCCCTGACCAAAACTCCCACTTCCGAATTCCAAACCACGTCATAAAACGCTTGCTCGGAATTCGAAAGCGGTCCAATAGCTACAAGGCCTCTAAAGTAATATCTCCGAACTGGCAGTGGCTCTCTCACTCGTGACAAGGCGTGCACCAGCGCCTCAGTGGGGACACCTCGAAACGTTCCGAACGGTGAAGCCTGGCTGCCAACGCAGCCTCGGAAATCTACTACCGATTGTGAATTCAATAGCAACTGGGAGCATTTCGCGGCAAGCCCATGCAGGATCCAGCACTGCCATACTCTGGATATCAATCACCACGCCGTAGACTAGAAAATGCCTCCGGGTCAGCAGTGGACAATGCATCAGCACGACTGGGAGATGCTTTTCCGCCCTGGGGTGATGGGCGTGTCACGTAAAAGTCGCAGTTCCATGACAAAGCGGAGATGGTCCTCGGATCCTGCAGAACGAGAACCAACTCTCGCTCTCTCAGGATCTGCAGAATGAACAACCTTGCGCCACAATTGCGCACTATCGTCGCTGCTTCTGCTGCGCCTCACCCACAGTCGAACCTTCGATACGCTTCACGATTCCCTTCTCTGGATGCGACGAAAGCGTCGTCTGTGTTGTGGCGCCAACCTTCTCCTCCATCGCGCTCACGCTCGCCGCCGCCGCCGCCGCCGCTGGTGACGCTACCTCTGCCGTCGTTAAATGCCCGCTGCGCCCATGCGATGCTGGATAACCTGGGTGGCCGGTGAACCTCCCACATGCCATACTGCCATGGCTCAAAAAGGACCATCATAATTTTGCTACCTTATCGTCATCACAGTTGTTATTCATATTCACATGATTTATTTATTTATTTATTTTAGGTTTTGTGATTTTCTGTTGGTTTGAATTGACAACACAAGAATGTTTAATCAAGAATGTTTGATGATGATGATGATGCAAATTTGATCTGAAATATCACTATTTGTGTGTACACTTTTGAGTTGTTCTTGTTGAGTTACAACAATGTGGATGTCTGTTTTTAATTTGGTTAATACTTTAGAAGATATTTATATATATATATATATATATTATTTCTTGAAGCCTTTTCACTTATTAATAATAATTGATTGTGTAGTGGTGATAGAGGAGAGGGAGAAGAGAGCCAAAGCTGCCCAAGATTACACAACATGCACATAGCTGTTTCTATATTAAAATACTAACCACTAAATACTAAACAATAAGTTTAATGCCTTCATTTTTTAGTGGCCTTTGAATTTTGAGCCTCAAGAAGGTTGATGAATTATTTCCCATCAATAAATTGGAATTTAAATAAAGATGGCCCTGAAATTTTGAATTTTGATTATTGTAGAATAGTGAATGAGGCAAAATGCCAAAAAGACGAGCCAAGATCTAACTGTTGGTAATATCATAAAAACACATGGTTTGAGTCCCATAGTCATAGACATACATATTTATTCCAATAATTACTTATATAATTGAATAGAAGTAGGTAAAAATTGATTAATTTCATAATATATCTTTTAGATCAGCTTCTTAGAAGCTTTATAGACACTACTTTGACTTTACATGTATTTGTAGGTAATTGGAGGCTAAAAACTTAGTCAACAAGTTAGCCATGTATTACATGTGTTATGGAACAAACTAACTATGTAGCATATATATAGATAACTTGCCTTGCAAGTTAAGACATGTATCTAGCAAAGTTAAGACATGTGTTGAAGGTCCCATAAAATATGACAAAGTAGCTTTTAGTTAGAAAGTATATATGGAGGCAAGAATGAAGCCTTTTTTACTCTTGTCAATATCTTTTTAGTTCCTAGTCTTATTTTAAGACTTTTGAGTTTTTTTGTCTTTGGCAATAGCTATTCTAATTTAATACTATATCATCTTTGAGTGATTTTTTAGTCTTTTTAAGTAATACAAGAGTTTATTGCCCTTTTAATTCTTTGAAGTTCATGTCCTTGTGTCACAAATATACATATTTATTCTAATATTTATCTATATGATTGAGTAGAAGTAGATAAAAGTAGTTTTATTTCATAATATTTTCTAAAGATGCTTTTTAGAAGCTTCATAGACATTTCTTTGACTTTACATGTGTTTATAGTTGATTGGTAGGTTAGAAACTTCATCAACAAATTAACAAAGTATTGTTAGCTTGTAGAACAAGGTAATTATGTGGCACTCATAAAAAAAAACTTGCCTTACAAATTAAGATATATGTCTTGCAAAGTCAATACATTTTGGAGGTCTTATAGAACATTGCCATATAGCTCTTAGTTAAGAGCATATATAGAAGCAAGAGTGAAGCCTTCTTCACTCTTATCAATGCCTTTCTAATCCTTAATCTTATTTCAAGACTTTTTATTCTTCTTGTCTTTGACAATAGTCATTTTAGTTTAATATTATATCATCTTTAAATGATTATTTAGTTTTTTTGAGTGACACAAGAGTGTATTGACATTTTAGTTCTTTGAGATTCATATCCTTGATACCTTGATATTTTGATAAGAGTGATAACTTATTGTTCTTGTCTTATTTTAGATTATCCCACTTCTATTGTTATATTTTGAAGGTTAAGAATTACATATCTTTAAATAAAATAAATAGTTTAGTTTTCTAACAATAATTTTTTTCTTTAAAGAAAGAAAATTATTTTTTTTTGTAGAAATTTTTATTTAATATTTAAAATTATAGATTATCCTCTTTTAATTTGACTTGTGGATTTGTTAAGTTGTTTAAAATAGAAAGAAAAATCATAGATGCTATACTTAGTAGAAGTGAGAATAGATTTGTAACTATTCCAGATCTTCACAAACTTGTTAATACTCTTAGAATAGAAATTTTATGCATCTCTAGTACCAACCACGGAAATACTAATCCTATATCTATAGAAGAAGTTTAAAATCTACATCAAGAAGTTATATAGTTGAAAGAAGCAAGTAGATCAACTTTACAATCAAATCCAAGAAGTTTTACTTCGATAAGTATGATGGAGACACGGATTAGTATGCCCAATAAGTTTGATGGATTAAAATAAAATTTTGAGGATTTTTGCAATAAGTCAAGCTCTATCAAAGATTGCATTTCTTCTAATACTTTGATGGATTTATTCAAGTTGGATTCATATGCGCATTTCTATCTAAAAGTATTATTTCTTAATTTGCACCATTAATAAAAAAAGATTCATGACTCCTTTATGATTTGCATTCATTCTTAGAAGTGTTTATAATTATATTTGAAGATAGTGATTGAAAAAGAATAGCAGAGATGAAGTTCTTATTTTTATGACAAGTATCATAATCAACTACTATATATTCTACTGAATTCCAAAACCTTGCTTGTAACATAGACTGAAATGACAAAGCTCTTATCAATCAATTTTGATATGGATTGAAGGATAATAACAATGATTTATTATTGACAATGCAAAAAATAAAATCTTTGGAACAATTTATTGCTCAAACCACTGCATGCAATAATCAATTATTTAATAAGCATCAAAAACAAAGACTTGACTTAAGAAGAATAAGCCAAGTAATGATGACAATTATTAAGTTTTTAGAAACTTATTTATGAAGGCCAAAACTAATGCAAATTGATATAGTATATTTTAAATCCATCACTAAGCAATAAAAGACTTAATGTCATCAAGAGGATTTATGTTAATATTATGGAGAAGCTAAGCATACTGCTTAATATTTTATAAATTAACAACACAATCACAAAATGAGGAGTACAATTGCTAAAGAAGATAATGTGTCAAAAAATAAGTTTTTTCAGCTACAATAAGGATCGTATGGTTGGAATCATGTACAATACCTAGTAAAGGTTGTATTCTCTCTTCAAATCCCTCATCTTAGTTTACAATAGATGTGTGTTTAAGACCTAAAAATTACAAAGTCTTTATATTATTAGATTTTGGAGCCTCAACCTATTTTATAAACTAAGAATTTGTCAAGAAACAAGAAATAATTTTTGATAAGAAAACTAAATTCATACAGTAAAAATCATAGATGCTCGTTCAATGTCTTTTGGAGATATTATTTATAAGACTATTCTTTTAAATATAGAAATTAAAGTTCATAATAAATAGTAATATCTAATGTGATAAGATCTCTCTTTAATCCAATTATTTTAGAATTATCATGGTTAAAAAAATATAATCTTTACGTAAATTAGATTTTTTATAACTTTAATACAAGAAAAGAAAGGTCATCTTTTGCTATATATACCACATCTATTTTTAATGGTAAAAAGATGTCAAGTGGTATTTCTATCCAATATCAAGATTTTTAAGAAGTTTTTGAAAAAAAATAGATATTTTTCTAAAGCATCGACCCTATGATTGTTCAATTGATCTAAAGAAAAGAGCTCAACTACCATTTGAACCAATCTATAACTTATTATAAAACAAATTGGCTCCACTAAAGTAGTACATTGATGAGAACTTGGCTAAGAACTTCTTATGCCATTCAAAATCTCTAGCACGAGTTTCTATGTTATTTGTGAAGAAAAAAGATGGATCTTTGTAGATGTGCATAGATTATCAAGAACTTAATGAGATCACCATCAAGAATAGGTATTTGCTACCTTTGATTTCAAGACTTTTTGACCAATTCAAACAAGCAAAGATCTATACAAAAATAGATCTACAAAGAGTATACAATCTAATATGTATGAAAAAAAGAGATGAGTAGAAGATTGTTTTTCAAAATAAATATGGATATTTCATCTATAATGTCATGACTTTTGGACTTATGAATGTATCAATTGCTTTTCAACATCTCATGAATGATATCTTTTATGAATTTTTTTAATAATTTTATTATTTGTTATTTAGATGATATTCTAATATATTCTATGATCTTAGAAGAATATGAACTTCATGTTGTCATATATTAGAAAAACTTAGAGATGCAAGAATATATGCTGTGATTGTCGTTTTACTTACTCTAACTAATCTAATCAGAGTAAACCTGTATAGGGAGATTCGAACACAGGGAAAGAATATCGCATGAGCTTACACGTTAGGGTCACACAATTAACTATATTCCGCACTACTTAAAACACCCAGGAAACACTACAATGCTTTCCACTTCCTAATAATACTCTACCATCACTGATAACAACAACAAGTAATCCCGCACTATCCTAAATGACAGGACATAATCATACTATAATCCAAACTCTGGAGTTCTTCACCATTAACTGCCTTCACATTACAATGTTTCATACAAACACAGACTCATTCTCTCTGCTGAACTACAATCAGATTTCAGCATTCAATCTTTCTTCTTCCTATTTAATAACAATCATACTTCCATTTCATAATTCACTTTCACAATATTCAGAAACTCTTAATCTTCTTATTCAAAGAAAATAAAAAACAAAAGAAAAGAGGTAGCACCAAGCTTACCCTGGCTCACACTATCACAGTCTCGCCCCTACTTCCTCTCTCCCATCCTCCTTATGCTACCAC